TATAAGGAAGACATTTTTTACAATGAGGGTGGGTGTTCAAGGCCAGGCTGGATGGGGCTTTGAGCAACCTGATCTAGTGAAAGATGTCCCTGCCCACAGCAGGGGGGTTGGACTAGATGACCTTTAAAGGTCCGTTCCAACCCAAACCATTCTATGATTCTATAAGCAGGTAAAGAACTGGTTGGATGATTGGGCTCAGGTGGTAGTGGCTAACAGGTCATACTCCACCTGGGTGGCTGAGACAAGTGGAGTACTAACAAGTGTCTATGCTGGAACTGGTCCCATTTAACATCTTCATCAGTGGGGTCTGGAGGAGGGGATAAAGTGCAGTCTTGTCAAGTTTGCATATGACACCAAATTGGGGAGAATCAGTCAACATGCTAAAGGGCTGGGCTGTCAGAGAGACCTAGACAGGTTAAAATTAAAAAGGGACGAATGTAAAGCTCTGGGAAGGAGGAACCACTTGCAAAGATACGAGCTAGCGTCTAGCTGGCAGGGGAGCAGTTCTGCTGAAAAGAAGCAGGGGGATCTCAGTAAGCAGCAAGCCGAACAGGAGCCAGCAGTGTCCCCTGGCAGCAAAGGCAGCCCAACAGCATCCTGGGCTGTATGAACAGGAGCTTAGCCAGTAGATTGAGGGTAGTGATTATCCCCCTCTACTCAGCATGCATTAGACTGCATTCACAATAATGTACCCAGTTTTGGACCCCTTCAAGAAGTCAGACATCAGTAAAATTGGAGCAAGTTCAGTGGAGGGCTACCAAGATGGTCAGAGCACTTGTACTATGAGGAGAAGCTGAAGGCACTATGCTTGTTCAAGCCTGGAGAAGAGTAGGCTTTTGGAGGGTACCTAACAGCAGCCTTCCAGTACCTACAAGCTGATCATTGAGAAGACGGAGACGTGTTCTTCATAGTAGTGCCTCATGGAAGAAAAAGAGATAATGAGCATAAGTTGGAACAAGAGGGAAGATGAAGGGGGAGTTTCTGATCTCTGGTTATCCTTGTCAAACCTTCATGATTCTTTACATGTACCAAGTTCAAAATGAACTGAAATGGCTTTCAGCTTTCATTAACAATCAGCATGCAGAAGTCATGAAACACGCTCCATAGCTTGATGTTTTGAAAACATTAATACATGGTATTCTTTTCTCTTTGATTCTTTTTGAGCTTCAGTGTATACATGACCTCAAATTTCAAGTTTTCTTTCCAGTCACAAGCAACCTAAAAACATACTATTATTCTTTAGAAATGGGTAGGTTTACATTCTCTTAGAATAATGTGAAGCAGAAGCTAAGACATAAAGAAGAACCCTAAAAGTGCAAAAATATCAAAAGTTCAAGGAAAAAAAAACCAAATACTGCTAATAGCAGTAGCTTTGTTCCAGTGCAATAACAAATTGCATTGTAGCTTTATCACAAAGTCAATCACCATCAGGAGATGATCGGTTTGCCAGTCTTCTGCCAGTTCCAGGAGACAGCCACCATCTTGGAGAACATTTGTCTGGAGCACTGAGTTCCTGCTGGAGAACTGAGACTAGCAAATGCAAACTTCCATCCATCTGGAAGTGCTGAAGGATGAACCATCTTTCTTCTGACTGTAAAAAGGTACTGAACCAAAACTGTACAGAAAGCTGACTAGTTTTTGATTTATCCACATTCATGCAAATGGATATGACTTTGTTAACCTCTAAATACCAATTATTAAAAAGGCCTTAGCTCTTACATTTTGTGTTAGTAGAGCACTGTTTGTTAAAAATGGATACAAAAAAATACAGAAGATTTTGTCCATGATTCGGCCTACTTATCTTCACGCAGTGATACTACAAAAGGAGGCTGTCCCTTCTGAGAAAAGAAAAATAGGCACTGGAAAAAACTCAGCTACTCTTCAAAGCACTTCTTTATGGATGACTTCAGTGCTGGTGGAAAACCTTCAAGACAAAATATAGCAGCTCCTTCATTGTTGAATTCTACTGCTTCTCTTCCGTTGTTGTTTGGTCCACAAAGCAGTTATTTGCTTCTGATTTAAGATCTCAAGCAAAAGAAAAAAAAGAAAAGCACACAGGTAAATTATTATGTCTTCTCTTCTAGAAATTGAACTAGTTATACAAGAATACCGCAGGTTTTAAATACTAATAAAGTGTGAAGATGAATTAAGACATTGTCACATGATCTAAAACAATCCAATTGCAGCAGCTACGCGACCCATGGTATCTGATAGCCACTAGCTGTTTTACCCAAATTACCTGCTTATGGTTAGACACTTTCCTCTGCAACTGGAGCAGGTTAAGGACATTTATCACTTACTGCCAGCCACCTCCTAAGCTCCTAAGCCACCTCCTAATCTGTGAGGCTGTTCTGACTCCGTGACTTTGGATCACATAACTAGGCACTTAAGATACCACTTTTATGCAAAGGTTCAGGTCTATAATCTTGGTATCAGCTGTGCACCACACAAGTGTGATGCTGCTGCTATTGCTTCCACACAGTAACACCAGGTGCTTTTGGAGTTTTCTCTTTTGAGGACTGCAAAAACAGCTCTTACTTGACAAGCAAAGAAACTGAAGGCAAAGGGAGTTACAGCGCAGAAAGGTAGAATCCAGCAAGCTCAAGACTACGTGCCCAACCTAACTCACTGCATGCAACATGCATCAACCTCTAACCAGGCTGATTTCCAATAAAGCATACACAAGGCCCACTTACATCGGTCTTGGTGCACACAGAGCAACAGTATAAGGGGAATCAACTGGATGTGCCAAGGCACTGCCTCATTCAGTCTTTGCTCCTATTTTGATAGCACTGCCCTGCCTTTCCACTAGTCTCTAGCTCAGCATCACTCCAACCTAGGATAAGACGCCAGGAGACAGTCTAGGAGAGCAGCACATGGTGACACATGGTACTCATCTCTGTAGACAATGAGAAAAAGAAAGATGTCCCTACTCTGGTTCTCACAAGGTTCCTGCATAGGCCTCAAGTATTTTTATGATTTGTATCCTTAAAATCCAAGCAGGTTTACTGCTTTACCTATGGCTGACTTATGCCAGCTTGATGACAAGACTAAAGAACGTGATGAAGAAGCCAGCCTAGGGGGGGGGCCTGCTATTTGCTTGTGTCTATGCAGTGAAAGGGCCTGAATATGAAATTAGTGTTCTCCTCTCGCTTTATAGCTGTGGTGATAAGCATCAGGTTGAACACCCCCCACAGAACATGCAGAATGTTCTGTCCCCACACAGCTTGCAAACAGCACCAAAGAAAGCACAGCTACATCTGACATCTTGACGTGACAGAACCACATAACTATTTCAGATGCTGAACCTTTAAGCGTGACGTAGGAGCACAGTTTAACCAAGTAAGTAGCCCTTGCAAAGCAGCATATCACGTAGGCCATGCAGAACACTGACTGACTTTGTTTGGTTTTCAGTATTACTCCTTGGCAAGTAACAGGATCTGACTCAGTTATGACAAGATACCACAGCTTCCTCTCCACCGATACAGCCCTGTTTCAAGCCTGTTTCCTTGTTTCATTACAGTTTCATTGGCAGTTTTGTCTGCATCACAGAGTCAGGTTTCTTATACTCAGTCCTAACTCCCTCCCACCCTTCCATTCATCCATGTTTTCTCACATTCGGACATTTTTTCCCCTCTTTTCAACATTGTCTTCAGCAAATATTTGAATGTGATTGCTTAGTTGGTAATTCAACAGAAGAATCAAACGTGGCAGAACAGAAAAATTTGCAGCAGTAAGGTGCCACTATGCGTCCTGGACATTATGAGAATCTTTAAACGGATTCTCTGCATCAGTGGTCTCCAAAGTGGGGTGTGCATAAGGCAATCCATTGTGGTGCAGGAAGAAAATATTTTTGCACCATTAATAAAATCTAAAAATAAAAAAATTTTAAAAAAGATTAAAATAAAAATTCAAAAGCAAAAATAAAACTTAAAAAGGAAAAATTAAAAAATAAAAAATTAAAATACTATTTACTTCATCCTTATCCTTTTTTAATTTCTATTTTTGTGCATGTTTTATAATGTACATAGTACTCAAGTATGGTAGCACATGTATATAATTTATAAAGAAATATACATAAATTGGGTGTGTATGTTCAAAATATTTTACTGATAGAGTGCACAATCAAATCAGTTTGAAGACTGCTGATCTACAACACAACAAGCAGAAACCAGTATGAAATGCCCATAGTTACACCATTTAGCTAAAGGCTATATGACAGACAAAACAACGTTTTTCCTTTTCTTTTGAGGAAAGGAAAATTGTTTTCAGTCAATCTGAAAACTTCATTTCTTACCAAACAAAAATGCTTTGACACACACTGGCTTATAGTACACATTTTCTAAAAGCATTTTAAATTGTCTTTTTAAACATTGAAGTCAGATAAAAAATTTCAAAACAAGAAGTTTCTGGTAACTCAGTTAATAAATTTGCAAACAAAACCTTTCATAGAATCATGGAATATCTCAAGTTGGACGCGACCCATAAGGATCATCAAGTCCAACTCCTCACTCCTCGCAGGACTACCTAAATCTAAACCATATGACTAAGACCATCATCCAGACACTCCCTGAACTCTGACAGGCTTCATGCCATGACCACTTCCCTGCGGAGCCTGCTCCAGTGACCGACCACCCTCTCAGAGAAGAACCTGCTCCGAAGGTCCAGCCTGGACTTCCCCTGACGCAGCTTCCATGTCCTCCTGTCCGATCGCTGGTCACCAGAGAGAGGAGATCGGCGCCTCCCCCTCCGCTGCCCCCCTGGAGGAACTCGTAAACTCTGAGGAGGTCACCCCTTCCATTTCACAAATAGCAAAACAATTCCTTCCTTCCATTCCTGTCTTCCCTCACCCGCTTTATTTCCTATAGCTGACCTAATTTCACATCCCTCCAAAACCTGGTTTCTTCACAGATGTTTTATTTGCCAAGTACTTTTTCACTAGCTATGTTCTATGGGAAACCAGCTCTTGCCCTCTTCCACCAGGCTCATTCTCAGTTAAACTACAGCGGCTCTACAGCATGCTCAAAGTGCAGCAAAGCTTAATGGAGAAAGTAACAGCTTCATGCAACACATATTGCGCACACACATCTCAGCCTGCCCTGCATTCACTGCAACAGCCCCCCCCAGCCCCTCTCCCTGTCTCCTGCCCTTCCTTCTCCTTTGCAATCCTCTGCTGACCAGCAAGCATCCCATCCCCTCCAGCATGGCAGCCCAGTGCTCACCAAGGCCCTTTATGATCACATTTAACCTATCAGTCCAGCAAAAGACCACCCAGATTTTTCTGCTAGCTCAGTTTCCTGCTACATGAGGTAGTCAAACTGGCTCACAGAGGGGTGCGATGAACATCAGAGCTGGCCCAAAGAGCAAGACCTCCACTTTCAGTGACAGTACGTGGCCAGATTGGCTCAAGCCATCCTACCAATTACAGTCGATGTGGAACAATTTTCACCCATCCACAGGAAAGACAGAGCTCCCTAGAGTCAGAACTACAGTAAATTACAGCAAGGCTCTCAAACCCCGATACGTTCATTGCCCTCGTCAGATGGATCCAAAGTTCAGCAACACTTCTCAGTATCACCTTAATCTGTGTAAGCTCTGCAGACACACCAGCAATGAGAAAGTTTTATTACATATTTACCTACAGTTTTACTTTTGAAAATCTTACACAACTCCAGTGAAATTCTTTCTAAGCAGGTCAGGCACTTCAACTATATCCCTGGGGAAGCAAGAAATTCACTATTACTGATGGCAGCTGATTTCACTTCTCCATGCTGCCAGTGAATCTGCCAGGTTGGGGAAATGACTTCTACCTCCCCCACCTGGCTGTCATGAAGACCAAAGACTTTGAGATACAGCACTATGCTACGCCTTCAACTATTCTGCCTGATTCATGGATAGGAACTTTGGATTTTCTACAGATAAGTGCTCAGCATCATTTTCTGCAATACTACCAGGTGATTTGGAAGCCAAACTTAGAGTGTAGCAATTGTTCTCTTGGTGAGGGCTTGACCTTTGCGTGTTCTTTGCCAGGTTTAGATGTCTCAGTAAGACTTTTCACTAGAAACTGACGGTCAATGACCTCAGCTCCAAACCTATGATCTTTAATACTTCTTGGGAATCACAGTGTGAAACTAATTAGTAACAAGAGTAAAACCCGTTAGCATTCCATAGGCTTTCTCTACTCTAGAAAGATTCTACAGAAACAGTATTCTGGTCTGGATGGATGACAGACCAATGTAAGCCCTTGCCTGTGCAGTTTATTAAAGGACAGCCCTTATATCCTTCTGTTATCAGAGTTGGGACAGGACTAATCTGAGTTTTTATATTCTCCATGTTGACATACTCTAAGAAGCAGCTGCGCGACCTCACAGGTGCATAGAAAACAGATTGGGAGGGCAAAACATCTTTGGAGATAAGTAAATGGAGGCCTGTTATGCCCCCATAGTAAATGCGGCATACAGAACTGATGACTGAGTAAAGGTTCTACCTAATGCATGGAATATGAAACAATTGTTGAGAAATATTGCATCTTTGCAGCCTGAGTTTCACTAATATCCATAAGATGTAGTGTTAATCAACTGTTCTCCCATACAGAATAATAATCAGTTTTCTCATTCCACGTGTCAGTCCTCAGGCCCACTGCTCTATTTATTTAGAAGAGCTTTCCCACCAGGTCCATGTAGGTTTAAAAAACATCAACAAACCACAAGAAAAACACAAATTAAGTCAACTGTATTCTTTGTGACCAAAGAAAACACAGTTGCACACCTAAACAATAAAAAAAAACTTTCAGTGTTCCACAATATCTCTCTACTTTGATATGATCTTCAACAGCATTCATAACTAACATGGCAGAATTGCAGTTCAGGAATCTACTGACAAAAACTACTGCCTTACTGACACCTCAGCCGCTAGAAGCCTTTATCACTCGGTAAGGCATGGAATAAAGTAAAAGTGCAAGCATGAGCAAGAGGTGTGTTATTAATGAATGCCATTAACATTTAATCCTGCATGTTTTAGACTGGCTAAATTGGCCAGTCTCCTCAACACTTCCCTCACAAACACCTGATTCCCTAGCACACGTCACGCAATCATGTGCCCACCACACATGTGCCCCTTCCCAATCCTGGACCTCACAACACTCTGCTTCCCCAACCAGATGTAATCTGACTGAGACCGGGGACATTTCTTTGGCATCAGTAATAGCCCTGACCAACATCCCCTGCCCCCATGTGCCATCATACCTCCCCCTCTCTCCTCCATACCCAACGCCACACTGTCCTCATGCTCCCTTCCAGGCCCCGCAAAGCCCAAGCACAAAAGGCACTCAGCACCCATGGTGCCACCCATAACTTCACATCAAGAAGCCACAGGCAAAAGTCACAACCGACAAAGACCACACCACAGCACACGCACTTACCTCCCTCATTTGCGCGTTGGTCATCTGTATGATTGACCAGCAAGCTGCTGTTCTCCGTCTTACAGATGTCTGAAGAGAGATCAGAAGACAACTACAGTCCCCCGCCTTGCTCAGCTTCAAGACAGCTCCCCACCACAGAAAGAACAGGCACTCACCTTCCTCACTTGCACCATTGTCAGCTCCACACTTGGACGCCAGGGTGCTGTTCTGCTTGGTAGAGAGCTCTGAAAAGAGATTACAGGACACCTACATCCCACTGCTTAACTTCACAGTGGTATCAGTTCTTACTTACTACAATTCTTATGAATTGTAATAACCATTCAGGTTTGCTCCGGGCGGGGAATCCAGGAGGTCTCTAACCCAACCCCCTCCTCAGAGAAAGGTCCACACTCATGTCCAGACAGGTTGCTCAGGAATTTCTCCAGTCAGCTCTTAAAGACCTCCAAGGGTAGAGACTCCAGGATGACTCCGTGCAGCCTGTCCTAGTGATTAGTCGTGCTTAGAAGGCAAAAATCTTTCTCCTGTATCCACACAATCTCCCCTGCTTCAGTTTAGGACCATCACCTTGATATCCTGCTATACACCTCAGGAAACAGCCTGGCTTGGTCTTCTTCTCAATAGCCTCATAGGTATTGGCAGCTGCTCTTAGGTACCCCGAAAGCCTGCTCTTCTTGGGGCTTGAACAAGCCTGGTTTCTTCAGCGTCTCCACAGATGAATTGTGCTCCAGCCCCTGACCACGTTGGTGCCACTCTGCTGAACTTGCTCAAATTTATCAGCACTTTTGCAGCACTGGGTGGGCCAAACTCGATGTAGTACTCTATGTGTCATCTAACGAGTGCCAAGTAATGGAAAATAACCACTTCCTTCAACGGACTGGCTTAAGCACTCCTTAAAACAGCCTTTGCTGCCAGGGAGCACTGTTGACTCATAGCGTACTGTCCATGAGGACGCCCACCTACCTTGTCCAGGTCACCAGAAAAACAGACCTCTGCAGTACTACACTTGTCACCAGCATCCATGGGGAGTACAACCCGTTAACCACTACCTGCAGGCCTGACAATCTAGCAAGTTTTGTACCCACGTAGATAGACAGACATTTATCCAGACTAGGACATCCCAACTTAGGACTCCAAATATGCTGTGGGACACTGCAGAAAAAGCCTTGCTAAAGGCAAGGTATACGACACCCATTGTTCTCCCTTCATCCGCAGATCTAGCCATTTCATCCAAAAAAGGTTGTCAAGTCGGTGAGCTGTGATTTACGCTGGGTAAAACCATCCTGCTTACTCCCAGTGACCATCTTTCTCCTGTGACCAGAAACATGTTCAGTTTTCAGTCCACCTCACTGTCTGCTTATCTAGCCTATACTTCATCAGCATCAGCTGTCACTAAATCAATTCCCTGTTCAGCAACAGGCCCACATGCTCTTTCCTCATTCTTGTAGAATCATAGAATCATGGAATCATAGAATCATTAAGGTTGGAAAAGACCCTTAAGATCATCGAGTCCAACCTAGCACTGCCAAGTCCACCACTAAACCATGTCCTTAAGCACAATGTCTACACAGATAACCTAGCAGCAGAAGCTGCTCTCATTGTCCTGGTCATCCCATAGTGGTTTCAAGCCTCCCTGAGCCCTGGCTTTCCTGACACCAGCCTTAACCTGTCCAGGCAGTCTTCCTAAATTCCTCCATTGTAGCCTATCCCTGCCTCCACATCTAGGATAAGCACTTTTGGCACTGAAGCTACGGCAGGAGTTCCCTGCTTAGCCAAGCCGATCTTCTCATTTACCTGCCTCTTCTCCTGACTGTGGGGATGGCCGGTGCTCATGCTTGGAGAAAGTCCTCCTTAAAGGCCTGAGGGCTCTCTTGAGCCCCATTGCTCTTCGGAACAGTCTCCCATGAGATCCTGCCTACCATCTTCCCGAAGAAGTGGAAATTTGCTCTCTGAAAGCACAGGGCCTGCACTCGGATGCTCCTCACTCCTCTCAGGATCTGGAGCTGTTTCTTGGTTGCTGCAGCCAAGGCAGCCATTCCTGACCACATCCTCAGCCAGTCCTTCCCTGTTAGTGAGCAGCAGATACAGCTGCACAGCAGCCCTTGCTGGTGTACCCGGTAGCCTAGGTGAAGAAGTTGTCCCTGGTGCTGCCCAGAAATCTTCCTGACTGCTGGAATTCCCGTGTTGCCTTCCCAGCAGATGTCAGCGAGGTTAAAGACAGACACACACGCAGCACCCTCTTCCACCAGAGACAATGACGGACAGCCTGGCTCTGTTTCACAAACTACCAGTCTCTCCAAATCCAGACAGAAGCTGGCAAAGCTTCTTCTTGGTCACATCAACTCTTGCTCCTCACTTAAGTGCTTCATGTTCACACAGTGGGGGACTGGAGGCCCCCTTGCAGACATCTCCCAACAGGCAGTGTTAACCAGAAGACCAGAAGCCACCACTTCAGCAGGGCTGCCACTTGACTATTCTCACCTCAGTCTGACTGGGATTTTTTTTTTTTTTTCAAACCCCACTGATCTCCAGAGCACGCCTCCTTCAAGCCTGTATGCTCTGCTGGGGTTATTACCAGGGGTGGAAAAAACACAAGACTCGCTCTGCCCTAGCAGAACGTAAACCAGCAGCTCTTGACTACGGCCTGAAAGCTGCTTGAGTGCTCCTGAAACTCCTGCACAGAGGACAGGTGTTCAGCACTGATGGCACAATCCCCCCAACACCACCACTGAGAGCCATTACACAGAAGTTGCTCTGAGACTTCAACTCTAAGGGACCCTGCCCAGTTTGCCCACTGGGTCATTAGCCCCGACCGCTCCATAGAACAGACACTTACCTTCCTGATTTGCACCACTGTTAACTGTCTGCTTGTCTTTCAGGGCACCGTCCTCCTTGTTCAACTCTTTATCTGAAAAGAGATCAGAGAAGAGCTACAGTCCCTCAGGAGCACACTCCATTGCTTCTTCCCCACACCAGGCTCTGCGCTATCTGGAGCTCCGCAGCACACCTTCTCCTCTGCAACTGTTACGTACTGCTGGGCTACCAGCAGAAGCCCTATCTAGAATTCCTTTGTACACACATTTCAGAGAACATCATCGCCTTGCCTGCTGTTGATCATCTGTGCAGCAGCGACTGCATGCTACCTAGGTGCTGCAGGGCATACTGCACAAAGGTGCACTGACTCCCCCTCCTGATGTTCCCACTCCATACTGCAACAAAAAGTATTTTAGTTTGTTCCTCTAGTGTCCAGACAACCTTTATCTGTGGACCTGATTCTCTTTTGCCTGAACTGTACGTTTCCCTCCTTTCTTCCATAAGACAGGCAGTAAAGAAACCTCCTTCTCCTATATCCATCTCTATGTATGTGGAAAGAGTTACACAAGTGATAAGACAATCCCACAGTGCACCACACCTTCACCATCAGCTGCACAACCTCTGTTTCTTCAGATGAGGAAAGCTGTTCTACGCCCATTACAATTCATGCAGGAAGAATAAGCAGCAAAACCCAGGGGCTTCTGGGTTTTCTTTGCCTTAGTCTGATCATTAGTGATCTGTCCCTTCATCAGGAAAAACTTCTGCCGCCTTCAGCCCCCTTATTATCAGCTACTTGTGGAAAATAGTGGAAGAGTTAGTGAGTGAATGAATAACCACTGCAACAGCCTGGGGAAAAAAAACATTTTTTTGCTGACTTGAACTATAATGTTCATATTTCAGTATCCCTCTGGAGTAAAAAGAACTTTCCTACAGCATAAAGCAAGTGGAAGATATTGCATCCAGAAATGGTGCTTCCCGAAGGAAAGAAGCCTGCTGTATCTCCCAAATTAGCATTTTGCAAGCTTGTAAGCATCCCATCTTCTAAATCGCTGTGTTGAGGCTCACATCTATTTGCCATCACTACAAACAAAGCTTTGAAGTCACAGGATTTTATTCTCTTAGGTCCTGCTTGAGGGTTTCTTTCTAGCAGAAAGCAAAGATTACCTACCCATGACGACAAACTATAAAAATATCCTTGCACTCTTTTGCATGCAAATAAAAGGTAACATTAGACAAAAGGGTAATTTGCTTATTTACTATAAAAAGGTGTTCCCTCATACATGCTTAGTTCTTCTTTCCACAGATGGCAAAGTGATTTACAAACACAGCACGCAGCTTCATTCTCATCATATCCAGAGGGAAGCTGAAGCCCCAAGAAGGCATTTGCTCATCGCTGCTTAACAAGCACAAGGATCCAGGTCTTTCTCACTTCTCATCAAGTGATCTGCCCATCCACATTTACTGTTCCTAAGGCAACAGGTCTTTCTAGGCCAACAGGGGAATGGCACGCTCTACGCCGAGAGCACGGTAGTACGTTTTGGATTGCAAAAAGCCATGTGAAAAACTAATTCCCCCTTCATGTTCCCCTGGCTTAGGGCACCACCCCACTTGTTACCCGCTTCAGGCTTTTCATTCTCACAATCAACGGCTTGTGAAGATGTAGCTGCAAGCAAACAGAAATCCTTTTTAGAAATGTGTATGGAGGTAACACAACAGTCTGCAAAACTGAGCTGGGGGTGCTCAGCCTGGAGAAGAGGAGGCTGAGGGGAGACCTTATCGCTCTCTACAATTGCCTGAAAGGAGGCTGGAGCTGGGTGGGGATCGGTCTCTTCTCCCAAGTAACAAGTGATAGGACAAGAGGAAACGGCCTCAAGCTGCGCCAGGGCAGGGTTAGGTTGGATATTAGGAACAATTTCTTCACCGAAAGGGTTGTCAGGCACTGGAACAGGCTGCCCAGGGAAGTGGTTGAGTTTCCATCCCTGGAGGTATTTAAAAGACGGGTAGACATGGTGCTTAAGGACATGGTTTAGTGATGGACTTGGCAGTGGTAGGTTAACAGTTGGACTCGATGATCTTAAGGGTCTTTTCCAACCTTAACAATTCTATGATTCTATGATTCCTCCACTGACTGTCTCCTTCCCTCATCTGGACTGTTACAAGGAGAAGACAGGCCTGCAAAATGGAGTAAGAGTGAATCGAAAGGTGCTGCTAACAGATTTTTTCCTGAAATAACTGAAAGGGGTTAGAGACAGAAAAGGAGACAATTGCAGCTTGACCCACAGGATGTAAGCATGCACCAGAGTCATGCACCAAAAGCAAGGACCAGAATTCTGCACACCAGACTAGCAACGTGCCTGTCTTCACCAGTCTTGGACGGATTTTCAAGATAGGACCAAGGTGAAGTAACAGTGAACTGCCTGTCTGATGTGGCAATACCTTCAGCAGTCATCATTAAATCTACTGCTACATGCACAGCATCAACCCCCACCTGCTGGAACCACCAGCTGTCCGAGTCAAATTCAACGCACAGAGGAAAAGGCTAGCTGCCCAATTTCCAAGATAGGCCAGCAAGAAATTGCCATGGGGAACACTGGGAATGAGCAGTGTCTGACATTCATGCTCAGTCCTAAGCACTTGACATGAATACTGGGTTTAGAAAAATAATCAACCAAACATCTGAAAGAGGTATATATAAATGGGACAGGCAGGTAAGATTAAAAGAGATAGAAGAAATATTAACCTCATTTCAGCATGGAAACCAGCCCTAACCAAACAGGTAAAGAGCAAGTTCTCCAACAGACAGACTGCCCTATATCCAGCCCTCACCCTGAGGCCAGCCCCCATTCTCCATTGTCAGAAGCGGAATTCACCTCCAAAGAGAGCTGCTGACCAGGCACATCTCAGGCCATTCACTATTTCAATATTAGTCAGTAATTCTGCCAGCCCCACTAACACATCCACTAAGTGCAGGTCCCTATGATTATCCATTATTGGACCTCAACTGAGACTTTGAGGCCGCATGTGCACACACTGAAAATCAACTCAAAAGCTTACACCCTGCAAAAAAGGAAAGAGCAGGCCAGACTCCTTGCTCCAACCAACAGCAGATGTTTAAAAACACCTATAACCCAACACAGGTTTCTTACCTCTGTCTGAGTTAGACCGTTCTTGGCTGTCTCCAGGGAAAAATAGCTCATCTTCTCCTATAACAAAATTTATTTATTTTAGAAAGTATATATTAATGACCTGGAAAGAATAACTACACTCTGTAAAACAACTAAGGCCTGAAAGAAAACTTACTCCTCTGCCTCTCCAATGAAAGACTATACTGCCACAGAGAAAAAATGTACAAGTCTAGACCAAATTAAAGCAATAGTCTGATTTCCACACATTTGTGACACACTGGCTCTCTTACCTGAGGCACATACTGGACGGTTCATCTGAGCAGCTCCTCTTGTGCCACGTTTAATTGCAGCTGCACCAAAACAAATAGAATATCTGGAGAAATTACTCAGAAATAACATTTTGTGCCTTTGGAAACTAGCTGACAGCCTCTACCCATTCCCCACACCCCCAACTCAAATAAAAAAATTAACTGAGGACATACAACTGAATACTTGACTTGGGGAAAGAAGAAACAGTGAAATGTTGTTTTGGGGCAAAGACAATCAGTGAGAGATCAACAAAATGAGCCTCCTGCAACAACAAGAAGTCAGAACACATCTAACCAAATCTAAAGCAGAGTTTAGGATTTCATGACTCTAAGTCGTGTTCTTAAATCAGCAAATCACACCTTCTGTTTGATTATACCTATGCAGCGCTTATTCTACTGAGGTATAACAAGTGTATTTTCTAGCATGGTCAAACCTTTGCTGTTTCAAGAGAAGAAGTTGAATTGTTTTGAGTTTAACTGATGGCCAGTTATGAGTGACATTCTTCATGTGTTGATACCAAGCACAGTGTTGTTCAACATCACCAACATGGACAAGGGCACAGAAGGCACCCTCAGAAAGTCTGCAGATGACATCAAACTGAGGAGAGTAGGGGATATGCTGGAGGGCAAGGCTGCCACTCAGAGGGAGTTCCACAACCTGGAATAACGTGCTGGCAGAAAAGACGTCATGTTCAAAGGCAAACGTAAAGTCCTGCACCTTTTAAAATCACCCCACGGAGCAGTACAGGATGAGCTCTGCCTGGCTAGAAAATAGCTCTGCAGAAAAGGACCTGGAAGCCCTGGTGGACGACGAGTTGAACATTAGTCAGAAATGAGCCCTTGTAGTAGAAGCCTACCAAATACTGGGCTCCGTTAGCAGAAGTCTACTCAGTCCATCGACAGAAATAATTCTTCCCCTCTATTCAGTATTTGTGACACCACATGTGGTGTACTGTGTCTAGTTTTAGGCTCACAATTCATGAAAAAACACTGACACTCCAAAGCTAGTCCAGCCAATGTCCACCAAGACGTTTAGGGGGCAGGAGCTCTGCACAGAGGTGCTGAGAGAATTGGGTTTGTTCAGCCTGAGAAAAAAAGAAGGCTAAGAGGATGGCTAATTGCAGTCTACAACAAGCTTACATAGAAAACAAAGGAAACTCCTCTCAGAAGTACAGGACAAAAAGACAGGAGGCAATGGATACGAGTTGCAAAAAGAAAATCCCTAACAGAAATAAGGAAAATATCCTTCCCCACAAAGGTGATTCAGCGCTTGAACACATGCTGAAAGAGGCTGGAGAACTTCCATCCTTGGAATTATTCAGTGTTTGACTGGACAAGGCCCTGAGCAACCTGACCTAGCTTTGAATTTGGTCCTGCTTTGAGCAGCAAGTTGGATGAAACCTCCAGAGATTCCTTCCCACCTAGTTTATTTTACGATTCCATGCCAACAGAAACTAAATGGAGAACGATCAGGAAAGCATAAGGTCGACATGCAATATACATCTATGTATGCTCTGATCAGAGCCTCCCTCCAGAATATCATCAATTAGTCCTTCCCAGACAGAAGACGCATCCCATGCGCTTCACCCTGCAGCCACCCCCAAGTGGTTACCCCACCTGGAAGCCAACAGGCATTTTCCATGCAGAGCACTCTTAGGATGAAGTAACGTATTCCTGTTTGGGACTCTCTCAAACACAAAAAGAAGAGATGGTGTGCACCGATTTTTCAAGTCAGAATACAATATCTGACACATTAACCTAAAAAGGTGGCAGCAAGAGATACACAGTGATAGCCTACAACTACCATTTCTGAATAAGCTGTCAGATTTACAAAATGACACTTGAATTCAGGGTAGGGATGGATCAAGAAACAAATCTAGAACTGCAAGATGATGGCAATATAGGCTGACAGGAGGCACCGAAGTCCCTATGTATCAGTTGAGCACACCGAGTTGCCAGATTAGACTCAGCATAAGGTATTCAACAGGCCCTGCTATGAGCCAGTCCCAACAATAAATCTCATCTTGAGGGCAGCTTTATGATGCTCTCAAAAAAGGCAGTGAAAGCACACTCAGGTAGGAATGGGAGAGGCCATAGACACTTGGTAAGTAGAAACGCACAGTAAATGAAACACCCAGTCTGAAGGAGAAATATGCAAATACAAACTACAGCGTTTCCCGGTACACATAGCCCAGTGTCTGAGTGCACGGGAGTTCAGTATATTATTTCCTTCAAATCTATTAGCCTTTGCCTAAGTTGTACTTGTTTCTACTACTGTATTTACAATACATCCTACAGTCAGAAAATTTCATACATTCTACAGAACCTTAGATCAGCATAATCTTGAAGCACGTTAAGCTCAATTAGGAAATTCTATACATACCTCTCACGCATAGGAATGCTGTGATTACTGTAATTAAACCGAAAATAAAAGCCACAATAAGACCAACTCTGCTTCTTTTGTGATAGCTGTGTCCTTTAAAAAAATAAAATAAATAATGACTGATTAGTTAAAAAGCAACTGTGTGATACACTACTTCAGTAGAAATACAACCCCGAGTATGTTTTATAGGTATTTGTTTTTAAAAAAGTAACCTCAAGAAAATAATGCATCTGAGTCCGTTATTAGCAAAACCCTATGCCAGCTCCAGGAAAGTTACACGGTAAGTACCTTAGTTCCGCAAAGGCACATCACTGCTTGAAAGGTGCTGGCTATTCCATTTTTTGGCCTATGAAAGGCTGAGCCAGATCTCAGCTAAATGAATTTCAGCAAATATCTTGTATTGGGTTTGCATGGCAAGGTTTTGGTAGTGGGGAGGCTGCAGGGGTGGCTTCTGTGAGAAGCTGCCGGAAGCTGCCCTCATGTTGGACAGAGCCAATGCCAACCGGCTCCAAGACGGACCCACCACTGGCCAAAGCTGAGCCCATCGGCAACAACGGTAGCACCTCTGCGATAACATATTTAAGAAAGGGTGAAAACCGCTGTGCAACCACAGCTGGGAGAGAGGAGTGAGAATATATGAGAGGAACAACCCTGCAGACACCAAGGTCAGTGAAGAAGGAGGGGAGGAGGTGCTCCAGGTGCTGGAGCAGAGATTCCCCTGCAGCCCATGGCGAAGACCATGGTGAGGCAGGCTGTGCCCCTGCAGCCCGTGGAGGTTAACAGTGGAGCTGATATCCACCTGCAGCCCATGGAAGACCCCACAGCAGAGCAGGTGGATGCCTGAAGGAGGCTGTGACCCCGTCGGAAGGCTGTGCTGGAGCAAG